AGAAGACAATGAAGAGTTTGTAAGAGAGTACAGATTGGTATTCGGAGACTTGTCAGCTGTGGATTCTTGTGGATTCTTCCATCCCGATACGCCCTTTATTGGATTTCTCTGATCCTTTTCCCCCTCACCCAGTCCCCAGATTTTGGTTTGGTCATGGTGAATAAGGATAACCTCAGGGCTTGGGCTATGGGGGGTCTCTTGGCTAGGAAAGATAGAGAGGTATGGCGCCCATCTCCGGGTGAAGAGGTCCAAGATCAACCTATATGGGCACAATGTACAAAGAGGGACGCTGGATGGTTTCCAGCAGGTGCAGCTCCCCACCAATAGATGGAGTGACCTGAATGGGCAATAGTAGAGGGGGATGCTCATATCACCGTCCCTCTTAGAGCCTACTGAGTCTTTTTTTTTTTTTTTTTTTAGACGGGCCTGGTTTCCAGCAGGTGGTGCTCCCCACCAATAGACAGGAGCCCTCATGGGGGCCTGCTACGGGGGGCTGCTCTTTTTTTTTTTTTTTTTTTTTTTTTGGAAGAAACAGCCCGAGCTTCTGCTAGGAATGCTGATATGATCAGACACCGCTAGCAGTGCCGGGATGGCTCCATCTATTGGTGGGGAGCAGCACCTGCTGGAAATCGGGTTCAGCATAGGATTCCCTATAAAGCATATTTAAAATGTAATCTCACAATTCAATGTTTCCATGTGATCTGTGAGTTGTGAAAGGGGCTGCTCTTACAGGCCCAGGTTTGAATAGCCAGCAGGATGAATATCCAGAAAAAAAAAAAAAAAAAAAAAAAAAAGGAAAGATGAAATTTGTGGATGAGGCAGGTCACCCATCACTTGTCAATGTTGTCATAGGGATGTTTCACTCCTTCCTGCTGAATCAGATCCCGAATTCGCCCCCCAGCGGGTCCCGAAACAAGTCCTGAACCTTGAGAGGTGGTATACGGCAGGATTGTGCACAGCAGAGAAACATGAGGAAAGAGAGATATGAAGGATGGAAGGCTAAGGCATAAGTGCCGGCACCTAGGGGCCTAGAGAATGCCCTGGGCCGCCGGAACCACCGGACCAAGAAGAAATTAGTACGCAAGAGAATAATAAAGGCGGCCCTTCTTCCCGAAAGAAGAAGGACCGCCGGGAAAAATAATGGCCTCGGCTGCGCGCCACAGAAAGAAAGAAGTCGAGGAGGTCAAGAAAATAGTGTCGGGGCACCGGCACGAGAGAACGGAACACGAGGCCAAGGGGGCCACCGGAGTGCGACATAAGAAAGGCCAAAGGGCCATGAGCCAAGTAAAGAGCCAAGGCTGTGACGAGCTCTTTTCTGATAAGCGCCATCTTCTGCGCAACTGGGATCGGGGGTACATGGAGGGGGTCCGGGATAAATTGCATGGCAGTCCCTCGTTGTTGGTTTTCTTCTTGGTCCCTCGACAGAAGGGAGGCGGTGGTTAGGAACTTCGGGGAAGTTGGCTCGCGCCTTTGTGAGCGCCGGGGAACAATGTCTGCTATGTCCTTTTTCTTTCTTTTCTTTCTTTTTTGACAGAAGTCCGTCTTTTTGGCATGGCAATTGCGCAGGGAATTCCTTCGGAATTCTTGAATTGGGGATGAGCCCGCGCAGGTTCTCGGAATTCCTTTTTGCAATTAGGATCTTTATTATACTAGGAAATTCGGTGCCTCGTAATTTTTGCCTGTAACTGCACATTGCTTCTTGCTTGCGCGCGCTTTGTTGTGCCTGGGCCTGCAGTGAGTTCCGGCTGTGCTTTAATTCCAATCTCAACTGTAATCTCTTCTTGCTCTTTCTTTGCCCACGCACATGTAACTGTAATCTCTCCTTTCTTGATATTCTTTCCCCCGTTGCTGCGTGCGCTCTCACTTCTTTATCTCATTGGCCAGATCGGTGCATTCTGGATCGAGGCGTGGAGTGAGGCTACGTCCCCCATGCTGTGACCCAGCCATGCAGCCGTACGCACTACCTCCTTCCTTTCTCCTATTCCTCTCTGGCAATCCCGAATCCCGATTATTGCGCGCAGATGCACAAGCTATAAATTCTGCAAGCGCGATTAATTAGCTCTCTAATCTACTTGGGAGTTAGCGCGGTGCTGGATATGCGGGGTTGACGCGTGGCCGCGAAGGACTGTGGCATGTGGGCGAGCCTGGCTTGCATGCTCAGGCCAAGCGGGGTGACGACTCTGTATGGTTTGGAGGTGCAGGGCGACGGACTGCCCACACCAGAAAGGTGCAAAGAGAGAGTCTAAGAGAGAGAGAGAGAGAGAGAGAGAGAGAGAGAGAGAGAGAGAGAGAGAGAGAGAGAGAGAGAGAGAGAGAGAGAGAGAGAGAGAGAGNGAGAGAGAGAGAGAGAGAGAGAGAGAGAGAGAGAGAGAGAGAGAGAGAGAGAGAGAGAGAGAGAGAGAGAGAGAGAGGAACGGGGATATGGTGGAGCAATGCCTCTTTTCCCACCTTCTGTGAAATTTTGACTCCAACGTTGGCCAACTTTGTTGCGGTAGTTTCGGATTTCTTTGTCAATCATCTCGGATTTTCTATTTTGTATGTATGTATGCATGCTTATGAACGAACTCGTGTCTCCTTTCCCGAGTTGTTTCTGATTTCCAATTTTGTTTTGTTAAGCCATTTGCGCTACGTGCACAACGATCCGCGAGGTTTCGGCTCCCCTGGATCGGGCCGGATACACCCGATGTGCATGCCTTGCCTAACCGCTTACTCTTAGTTCATGCATGATTACAGGAATGATCTGATGTATTGGTCCTTAATGCTGGACAATCGCTTCTTTGCTACATGATGGTATGGACACGTATGTAATGATTGGATCTCACTTGGAATGATGATGGTTGCATGAGAAGGATAATTACATGCATACGGATGATACGGGATAGACCGACACACGGACAAAAGCGACTACCACCGGCTTATCCGTGCGATAAGATAGGATCTGAGTAGTCTGCCTACGCAAGCGCCCGTGTATAACAGCAAGTCCGGCAGCGGAGTCTGCAACATACACGTGCGTCTGCATAAGCTCAGTTGCGATATCGCTTCGTCAGGAAATGAATGTAATTACCGTCCATTGAGTAGGATATGGCGGTGAAAACTCCCTTTTGGGTCACCGACCGCGAGAGCCTAAGGAACTTAGAGTATCGAACGTATTGGGAGAGGGAACAGCTTAGGCGACAACGAAACTCACGTAATCCTGACTACCCCTGTCAGATTGAGAACGATCGACTGTGCGGGGCGATTTCCAGTGGGCCATAAATCAGGATTCTCGGATTCAGGGTTATCCCGTAACCCACAATAGACAGTATTATCTAACCCCAGGCTTCGTCGCAATTACTACCCATTTTCCTCCCTATTATATCCTTCTCCCGTATCATCACCTAACGGTTGTTCCGTGGGACTCCATAGCTCATTACAGGCCCTGCACACCGTGCCCGGTGTGCGAGCAATACAACGAGTATCGGGAAGCAGGGGTCATCCGACAACCCCGCTCCGAAGCAAAGCTTCGAGAACACAGTCTCCGACTACGACCGTCCTCATCAGACTCTGATACGTGCATTGGCCGACGGTGGTACATGCGCTCTCAGAGAGATACTCATAGCGTTCCCCCTGTACATCGGATATGTCCCCGGCCTAGGCCGCAAGATCGGCGATCGCCCCGATTCTGAGTTAAAAAACGAGACTCTTGCACTCCTACCCCAGAAACTTGACGCCGGAGATTCAAGTTCTGACCTGGGACTCCATCCCCACTTTCCTAAAATCCTTGACACACCCCTATTCGCACTTCCAAGCCCGCTAACACTCTGAAACAGGAAGTCGCGTTGGGTGTAAGGTTGGTATCAGAATCGACACTTGTCAAGACAAGAGATTGACAAGGGGCTCGGCTCTGTAGTTCAACCGATCTGGCGATCCTGAGAAGAGGACGGTCCGCGCAGAGAAACGTGCCGGCACGTGAGCCCGTAGTAACATGGAGCAGGTCTACAGGCAGACTTGCCAACGACATGAATGCTAATCAGGCACAAGGGGCAGTGAACCCTGCTGACCTCGCGCCTCCACAACCGGCACATATCCGCGCACCAGTAGCTCCACCGGATCTATATTTGTTTGATCCTACGCATCATTTGGCAGGAGCATAGCTTGCCACACTCCGAGCACAACAAGACGACGACGATGAAGCCAGGATCAATATTCTGGCCCGGTTAGGGGGCGACGCCCACCATTGGTTTAGTACCTATGTATGGGTTGATATCCCTACCTTTCAAAGAGACTTCCTCCACAAATTCGATTACATTCACCACGAGCAAGCGTTCTTCAAGATTAAGGACCGAGTGCAGAAGCCCCTCGAGTCCATCACAGAGTACCGCAGCAGATTCTACAAGTTATTCGTAAAATCCCAGAGGGACGAAAAAATAGGAAAAAACTTCTTTATAGACGGACTCAGAAGTAGAGTAATACGGGTCAAACTGCGAAAGCAGTTTTCCCCCATCACCTTTAGTATGACGCAGATTATGGACGCGACTAAGGAAATGGAAAGGAAGTTTGCCGCTAGCTTCCTCGAAGGGGAAGACCACGCTAAGGAAGGAGAGTCTTCGGAACTAACTAGAAAAAAAATGGAATTAGCAGCACTCCAGCACAAATTCGAAAACATGGGCTTTGTATCGGGCACCGTAACCTACCTGTTATTGGCAACCCAACGGCCTCCTCTCGATCAAAGTGCAAGACCCTCAGTGGCAAGAGTACCTGTTTGAACACCTGCCCCGACAACAAAGGCAGATGATTCGAACGCGATATTAGAGCTCGCACACACGTTAGTAAGCCTCCTGCAGAAAAGCAAGAAGGAACAACGTGGGTACAATACCCGAATGGAGTCGCTAATGCGCTCCATGCACCCCATTAATGTCCGCGCTACCCCCCTTCCTGTCGGAGCATCTGCTGCGGCAGCAGCGACGGAAGCTGGTGTAAGTACCGCACCCAGAATAGACACGTGTTACGCGTGTCACCAGGCCGGCCATATAGCAAGAGACTGCCCCCAGCGGCAAGTACAGATAGGAGCAGCCCCAACGGGCCAACGACGGCAGCTCCCCTAGCTAACGGACCATGACAGGTCGGGACGATGGTAGAAGAAACCAACGGGGCCGTGTCTGCAGCGGTCGTCGCTGAAGAGGCCGCAAAGCTTATCCCGCTCGATCAGTTGATATCCGTGCGATATCTGGGGTTGGGCATGATTGGGGCAATCCAGCCGGCGAACGAGAAACGAGAGGTCTCGGAATGCAGACCATCTCCCAGTGAAATGGAGTCTGGTGGTCCCGCGTTCATTACCGGGGAGATCGATGTGCTCGATATCATTCGAGCACTAGATCACCGCATCCCACTCCCGATCGGGCACCTTCTATCTATATCGGAACAAGCTAACCGTCGCATGCTGCAGCACTGTAAAGCCAATCGAAACGGTTCGCACTCGCCAAGCTGGCAACGGTAAAGGGGAAAGCCCCTACGAAAGAAGCAGAACCTTACGCACCGGGAACCTCAGAACTCGTGCACCTGGGGCTCATTAAAAAAAGTGATCACTTTTTGCGTATCAAAGCCATCCCATGGAAATCTGTTGAATATGACGTGGAAATTTGGGGAGTCCCCTACAATGCAATCATCGACTCTGGAGCAGCCATATTAGCCACATCCCTACGAGTAGTAGAGAGGGCAAGGAGACGAAAAGATCTGATTCCACTTACCAAGGGAGACCGTTTGGTCTTTGCAGACGAAGAAAAGATCCGAGCGGTCGGGAGAATGACAAATGTCACTTTTAGACTGAGAAAAGTCCACGCCTTGGGAGATGTATTGGTCCTCAACGTAAACTCGTACGATGTACTCCTGGGACTACCCGCCTTAAACGCCCTTCAGGCCAACCTAAACTTCGAGCGACGGGTAATAGTTCTCAAAAGCACGGGTGGCAAGCCATACACAATCCCTATGCGTCTCACCCTCCGCACGACGGTCGGCTCGACACGTAGAGCCCATCCGGATAAAGTTAGGCCGATCCGAATAATCACATGGGAGGGATAGGCTGACGATTCGAAAACATCCAGCGAGGAACAAATGTCCTCACCTCCTGAGGACTCGGAAACGACGGAAAGTGAAGAAGAGACAGACCCGATGATCCAAAAGCTGACGCGGAAGGTAATCAGTTACCCAGTCCGACAGAAAACGACAAAGGCGTTCGGGCTTACCGAGGAGAAAGCCTGACGGACCCGGGCCCTTGTCATAGGGGAGCCGCTAGTACATGTGTCGAGGATGCCCGATTCTTCGGAACCCCCTCGAACCTTGTACGAAGGAGCTGCCCCATTGCTGCCACGATACCTGGACAAATGCTCGTTTTGCGATGTTACAAACTTACCTCCCCGATCGCTTTTCACCATGGAAAAGGAGGTACGATTACTGCGCCTAGGAGTGGAAACGCAGGCTTCAGAACCCCCTGGGTACCCCGAAGCCTCGCTATTCGAGATTGGGATAAAAATCGTGGAACAATTGGTGGACCTTAGGGGCATTGAGGACGGGATAACCCCCGAAGACCACGTGGCCATCCAAGAAGAAGAGGCTCAGATGGTGGCCACCGTATTCTCGTGGCGGTCGGATAACTCTTTTATCTCTTCCCCACCACCCCGAGACACGAAAGCGATACGCACTAAACACATGTCGGTCATCATTCACGAACAACCCTATGAATTACACGTGTCAGAATGCGTGCTGTGACTGTCCGACAAAACCTACCAACTAATTGCGGATATTCTGCCTGAATATCGGGATGCCATTAGCATCAAGGATGCAGACATCGGATTGTCCCTGATCATACAACACGAGATTCGGATCGGTAACCACCCACCGATCCACTGCAAGCCTTACCGGTACTCACTCGCGGAACGGAAGGCCGCATTAGAGAGCATCCGCGAGTTCGAAGCCAATGGTTGGATCGAACCCGCCACAGGTCCTTGGTCCTTTCCGGTGGTCTTAGTTCTGAAGAAGAACGGATCTATTCGCATTTGCATTGATTATCGGAAACTAAACGATATCAGGATTAAGGATGTGTACCCTCTCCCCCGAATCGATGATTTGCTGGATGCGATTGGATGTGCTAATTATTTTAGTAAATTTGATATTCGGCATGGATTCCACCATATCCTGTTAAGGGAAAAGGACCGACCAAAGAAGGCCTTTGTGTTGTTTGACGACACGTGGCAGTGGGTTCGTTGTTCGATGGGCATATACAATGCACCGGTGACGTTCCAGAGAGGGATGAATGTCACTTTTCAGAACTTCGTTAAAAAAAACCAGTTGGCTCTGGGAATGATCAATTTTTGCGTTATTATGCACATGGACGACATTTTGGTGAATTCTGAGTCGTTCCATGGACACGCGCAACATATCGAATGGACACTTGGAGCGCTGCGGGACGTTGGCTTCAAGATCGCGTTGGAGAAAAACGATTTTTTTTTGTCTGAGATCTCGTTCCTTCGATACATGGTAACCCGAGGGGGCTTGAGACCGGATTCGAGGAAAGTCGAGGTGGTCCGGGAGGCGCCCACGCCTACGTCACTGACGCAGGTTCGAGCCTTTCTGGGAATGGCCTCGTATTACCGACGGTTCACCAAGGGATTCGTGGCAATTGCTTGGCCTCTGACGAACCTCATACGGATGGACCAGCCGCTGAACTGAGACGCGGAGTGTGAACAGGCTTTTTCCACTCTGAAAGAGGCCCTGGCCTCGATACCTATTTTAATTCGGCCCGATCCCGAGCGACAGTTCCTACTCATTACCGATTGGCGGCCCGAAGCAATCTCCGCTATCCTAGCTCAGAAAGGAAAGGACAGGCGAGGACACGTGGTCAAGTATGCTTCTCAGACGGTACCAAACGAAAGGAAGAATGACTCGGCGCCCCAAGGGGAAGGTTATGCTGTAGTCTGGAGAATCCAGCACTTCCACCCGTATCTCTATGGGCAGAAGTTCCTCCTCGTAACGGATCACGAGCCCCTGCTGACACTCAAGAAGCGCATCAACTACATGGGTATGATTGGGCGATGGGCAGTAAGGCTGCAAGAGTACGAGTTTTGATATCGTCCATCGGAAGAAAGAGACGCACGAGAATGCGGACAGGCAAACGTATCTGCACAGACCAGGCAAGGTGTCGCGTTGCGAGGAGATCACCCGTGGAAGGAGCCGGAGCTGCCCAAGGGGTCCGGATATAGCCAGATGAAGGTGCTCCCCCAGTAGGCGAAGAAGTGACATGTATCCTCATGGCGGCCCAAGGAGAAGGAAACACTGAGGGCCCACTCTCTCCTTCCTCTTCCTCCCTGCCTCCCCTACCGGACCGTTTTTGTTTTCTTTGTGAGTCCATCTATCGAGTTTATTCAGTGTCTATGAAGCCACAAGGCGAAGGATACGTGGAATGGGTTGACTGTGCTAAGTGTGTAGCGAGAGCCCACGGGGCATGCATCCAGCATAGGAATCCCCGGAAGCTATGGCTCTGCCCTCTGTGTCGTACTGATAAGATCCCAACGGACGCTCGAATCCTGGAAGTAACATCGCAAGGTCTAGACAAGATTCGACTATTTAGACGAGCAGAGGTGTGGACATATGTCACCTTAATAACTACGATTGTCTCAAATTCTCTCCAAGAGTTCTGTAAGGAGGATCGGAGACGGGCCAATGAAAGAGCACGATATTATAGGTGGAACGGAGGACGGTTAGAAAAGCGAAAAACCAACGGAAGCTGGATCTAAATGTCGGTACGGCATCCGTTCATGAGGTATGACTGGGTGAAATCCGTCCACGAGGAAACAACATCACATTTCGCTGTTAGAATTATCGAGGCGGCCATCGACAAAAATGAGTGGTACTGGTCCAATATTAGGGACGATGTTAAATTTATTGTTAAAAAAATTCCTGTAAGTGCGGGAGACAAGGCGCTGATTCAGCCACCTAGGTCGATAGTCCCCACGGTAGTCCAACGGCCATTTCAGCGGGTTAGCATGGATACGACGGATATCGTCGTGCCCCCTGGACCGAATAGCTGTGAGTATCTAATTCTTTTGGTGTTCGTCGACCATGTCGGACAAGACAGATGACAGAAATAGTGCGGTATGTCAACCGTTTCCTCGGGATGCATAAGGATATCGAGGAAATCCTTACGGACAATGAAGCAGAATTCTGAGGGGAAGCCATGAGGAATCTGGTCTTACATGGGGTCTCTATTCGTAATACCGCCCCCCATATGTCTTAGTTGAGTGGCCTCGTAGTAAACGCCAACCGAGTAATTAAAATGGCACTCCGACAGAATATCGCCGCTAAGGACACGCGGCAGTGGCCTGATATCGTGGATAA